AAGAAAGCCATGTTTTACAGACACCACAGGGTAGTTGCCTATAAGATCCTACAGCACTTGTGACAGCATGCACAAGACCTGTGCAAGCCCAAGTCAGACAAAAACCCAGCATAGGTGGGGGAGGGTGGGCAAGAAGCCCTAGCCCTAGCTAAGGAACTATTGACAATTTATAGATGCTGGGAGAGGGAGAGTCAGTTTTCTTTTAGGGTGTGATGCCAGGTAGGTTGACCAGGCTCCAGGGGATAGACCTACAACTAAGTGCATTTGGGGAATACAAATTAGACTTGATAAAAATAATAGAGGACATGAATTGATGCAGGGTATGGGAGTGGTGGTGCATCTGAAAAGCGATGGGGAGTCCGAATATGATCTGAATACATTGTATAAAATTGTCAAAGAATGAGTAGAATATTATTTTTAAAAAGAGACCAAACGTAAGAACCCAGGACACATACATACCTACATACAAAGCGAAATTCATCAGGGTTATACCAGAAATTCTAAAAGCTAGTGAAAACATGGAATAGCACATTTCAAAGCCTGGGAAGAAATAACTGCCAATCAAGATTATGTGCAGCAATGTTGTCCTTTAAATTTGACAGAGAAATAAAGACTCTCCAAGACAAGCACAAACTAAAGCAATTAATGGTCAGCAAGCCCGAATTGCAGAAGTTACTTAAAGTCCTAGACACATGAGGAAGAAAGACATTGCAAACACCAGATCTCAGGGAAGAATAAATTTCACAAGAGCAGCAGATAAACAATTGAAAACTAAGAAAGAATCAAGAATATTAAACTCAGTAATTAGTACTGAGGGATGATGAGTTAGAAGATGAATTAGAGAGAAAGAAAAGAAGAAACATATTCAAACTAACCAGGAAAGAAATAACTAAACAAAATGACACATTTCAGAAAATAACCCTTATTAATAACCTCAAATGCAAATGATCTTAACTCTTCACTTAAAAGATGCAGCATGGATAATTGTGTGAGCCAACAAGCAAGACAGAACTGCTTGTTGACTACAAGAAACACTCCTCAGTGGCAAAGACATATAGTTTGAAAGTGAAAGGATGGAAATCAACATGCCAAGCAAGAGAAGGCAGAAAAGAAGCAGGAGTTGCTGTCCAAATACCCAAAGAATAGATTTCAAGAAAAAATTAGTCAGTAGAGATAAAGATCATCATTGCACATTAATGAAGGGAACAACCCATCAAGAAGATACGAAGACTGAAAAAAAGACATGAAAGTATAACGGGACTAGTTGGGAAGAGGAACGGGGTCAGTGGGAGTAGAGGGGGACAAGGGAGGGCAATGAGATGAATGTGATAAATTACATTGTATTCATGAATGCAAGTATCACAATGAAACCCATAGTGATGACTAATAAATACACACCAATAAAAACTTGAAAGAAGAAGACACAAAGATTGAAAATATATATGCACTGAATTAGTGACTGACTTCAATGACTACATTACCCAGGCAAAGAATCAACACATGATTAGAATTAAACTGAACCATAGATCAAACAGACTTTACAGACATCTAGAGAATATTTCACTGACTAGCTGCGGAATATGCATTCTTTTCAATAGCCCATCCAACTTTCTCTAAAATAGATGATGTCTTTTTGGGGGGGGGCAGGGTCTTACTGTGTAGCTGTGACTGATCTAGAACTTACAGAGATCCATAGGCTTTAGCCTCTTGAATCCTGGGATTAAAGGCTTGAACCACCATTTGTGGATGATAAGCATCAACATACACAAAAATGGAACTAATTCCTTTCATCCTATAAGAAATCAATAGCAAAAGAAACTATGAAAAGTGAAAAAAATATATGGAGATAGACAAATACTTTCTGAATGTAGAAACTAGGGAGAAAATTGAAAATTCTTAGATTCAAATGAAAATCAAAACAACATAACTTTTCAGATACAACAAAGGAGGTTCTGATTTATAGCTATGAGTGCTTACATTAAAAAATCAGAGAAAACTAAAATAATAATGTACCCCAAAGTCTTAGAACAAAGAACAAACCAAACCCACAATTAGTAGACAGAAAGAAGTAATAAAGACCAGGGTAAGAATTAATTGAATGGACACTAGAAGAATGATACAATGAATGAATAAATTAAGTTGGTTCTCTGAAGAAGTAAACAATATCAACCATTAGCCAAACCGAGCAAAAGATACAGAGACAAGACTCAAATAAAATTAAAGATGAAAAAGGGCATATTTGACAGGATTGCTGGGGACTATTCTGAAAACTTTACTGTTTGGTAAGTTCAAAAATCTAGATGAAATGGGAAAATTTCTTATATGACTCATTACAACACAAATTCAATATTTAAAAAGCTGCCGTTTTCTTACATATCAATAAGAAATGTGCTGAAAAAGAAACCAGGAAAACAATTTCATTTTCATGACCTAAAAATTCCTAGGAATCAGCATTAGGAAGGCAGTGAAAAAACTCGGTAGTGAGAGCAGTAAGACGCAGAGTAAAGAAACTAAAGGCACTCAAAGATGGAAAGGTCCATGTTTACTGTCCATATTAATAGTGACAAAATGACCATCATGCAAAGCAATCTGTAGATTCATGGAATCTCCATAAGTCTTCACAGAAAAAAAAGAACACTCTTAAAAAAATTCATACGGAAACACAAAAGACCTCAAATGGCCAAAGCAATTCTGAGCCAGAGGGATGCTGGAGGTATCACAACAGCTGGTTTCAAATTACTGTGCAGAGCCATGCTAGCAAGACCAGCATGGTATTGGCACAGAAAACAGACATGGAGACCAATGTAGTAGAATAGGGGACTCATATTTAAACCCACACGGCTACGATCATCTGATCTTTAACACAGGTGACAAAATCACACACTGGAGGAAAGAGAGTAATTAAGAAACAATGGCAGAAAAACAATATCCACAGCAGGATATTGAAACCAGATTCCTATCTATCACTCTGTACAAAAGTCAATTCAAATGGATCAAAGACCTTCATTTAATAGTGGAAACTTTGAAACCACTAGTGTAAAACATAGGTAAAACACTTCAGGATATGGACACATGCAAGGACTTTCTGAATAGGACACCAGTAGCCTAGGATATGATAGCAAGGATTGACAAATGGGATTGCAGGAAATTAAAATGTTTCAGCACAGCAAAAGAAACATTTAACTGAGAAGTGATAGCTTACAGAGTGGGAGAAAAAGTGCTATCAGCTATCCATCCAGAGTAAGACTAATATCCAGTATCAGTAAAGAGCTCCAAAAATTAAATACCAGGGCTGGGCAGATGACAGTTGGTAGACTCCATTGTTGCAGAAGCGTGCACCTGAGTTTGGATTCCCAGCTCAGTGGCACACATCTATAATTTCAGCACTGGGGAGGTGGAGACAGGAGGATCCCTAAGACTCGATGGAGCAGTAGGGGAAGTCACCTGATGTTGACCTCTGACTTCCATACACATGTGCACATTCATACCTCTATGCATATATGAACACGTACCCTTGCATAAAATATATGCACACATGCAAATTAAATGCCAAAAGATCAAACATGATCCAATTAATAAATGTGTAAATGAACAGAACAATTTTCAGAAGTACATATAGACAGTAAACACAGGAAAAAAACTCGATATCTTTATCCATGAAGGAAGTGCAAATCAAAACTGCACTGAATTCTATTTCAGTCCAGTCAAAATGTCAATCACTAAGCCAACAAATAGTAACAGGAACTGGTGAGGACACAGGATTTCACTTTTGGCCTCTCTAGCACATGCGCATGCACCTGCATACATACATGAGCCCACATATATGTGAACACACACATATGCACATATACCAGACACATAAACATACAAAAACTAAAGTGGAGAGTGATAGGGGAAGACACCTGACAGCACCTTCAGGCCTCCATGTGTACATGCATGGGGAGGTAAACATCACATACACAGAGAAAGAGAGGAAGAGAGAGATGATATAAAGAGAGGAATGAAATTATTTCATTTTCAGGAAACTGTTTGGAATTGGATCTGGAAAAAAACCCACAGGAAAGTGGAATGGGATTATTTGGGGGAAGGGTGGGGATCCAGAAGAGGGAGGAAAAAGGGGGGGCGATGAGCGCACCAGTGTGATAAAGCACATTGTGTTGATGCATGGAAAGTCACAATGAAACCCGTTATTTTGTGCAATTAATATATGCTGATGAAAAAATAACCCTCCAAACTGGTGGCTCAGTGGGCGGGCAGCTATTTCAGTCATTGCATCATTGAAATTTACTGAAAAACTGAAAGAGGACTGGATTGGTCTGGATTTTTCATCATTTACCTTTGTCCCAAACCCATCATTGTAGCTTTGCTAGTGTCTTTTGGAGGGCTTGTAATGTCCTTATATATATTTTGAGATCTATAAGCCCATGTTTTTTCAGTGTTTGAGCATTTGCAGAGACGGTCATTTCCTTTTTCATGTTTCATGGTGCTCTTTGGGAGGTAGGGGCCTTCTGCAGGTATCTATTCCAGGATGCTGAATGGGAAGCTGCTGCTGACCGTAAGCAGGCAGAGCATGCTTTCAGTTTCTCTAAAAAACTGGGAAATTCCCTTTGCTCTGAAATCGGGTGGGGAAGCTAACGAGGCTTTGTTATTTGGCAAGACCACTGGCTGACATCTGCAAATAGACTGAGTAAGAGGATGTGCATTATGGTTGCCTCAGATCTGGGGGAACACAGAGCTTGTATCTTCCCTGCTCAGAAGGTCCTGTGATTTGAGCTCATCCACTGGTCACATTAGCGGTCAAAGTCTTAGGTAGATCAGCATGAATTCTGATGAATGTTGACTAGCAGCCTCAAACTCCACACTGTCCAAACTGCCAGACCAAAGTTACCCAGAGAGAACCTTACGTCTTCTATCTTTTCTTCCTGTGGTTCTCATGGCCACTTGAATATCGAACCAAAGATACAATAGATTTGGAGATTAAGTTTTAGATAAGCTCTTACCTTTCCTCCATTCTTCTTGCTGGATGTGGCAAGCTGGCTTGTGTTGAAGGGAATATTGAGTTGCTAATGGGTACTTCTCTGCGCTGGAGAAGTGAATTTAAAAGCTGGAAGGAAGTAAAGTTTATCAATATACCAGACAACTCTGTGGTTTCCTGCTCAGAGTCCTATTGGCAAATGAGAATGTGGAGTGGGTTATGTCATGTTCCTCCTGAGACATTTCTCAACCTTCAGCTTTACTATACATTTATCTCTCAATTTCTACACATTTCAACCATGTCCTTCTTCCTGTAAATGATTGCTTTTAAAAAGTATTGTAATTTATTATTATTATTATTATTATTATTATTATTATTATTATTTGGTCCTTTTGAGACAAGGTCTTCTTGTGGCCACAGTTGGCCTGGAACTCACTATGTAGACCAGGCTGGCCTTGAACTCATAGAGATCTGCACTGCCTCTGCCTCCTGAGTGCGCCACCATGCCCGGCTGTATTTATTGTTTTTATTTTATGTGTATGTGTGTATTGCCTGCATGTATGTAAGTGCAAACTGTGTCATGCAATGCCCGTGGAGGACAGAAGAGGCCATCGGATCCCCTGGAACTGGAATTATGGACAGTTGTTAGCTGCCATGTGGATGCTGGGATTCAAACTCAGGTCTTCTACAAGAACAGTCAGTGTTCTTAACTGCTGAGCCATCTCTCCAGCCCGTGATTATTGTTTTAAAGTTTCTTGCCGTCTGACCCTCATGCCAAGCAATGTCAGCTGTGCTGGGAAGCTCTATGGAAGGATGGAGCCCAGGCTCCTTAGTTGTTGCTCAACACTCAGTGGTCTGGTTGTTCTTCTCCCTGTTAAAGCAGCAGTGTTGGCATGTGTTCATTTTCTTTCCAAATGGCACAGAAGTACATCAAACAAAAGGTGAATGACTTCCAAATCTTATTCTTTGGGAGCAACAGATTGTTAGAGATTTTATTCTTAAATATTTTGTTAGTTAAGATTATAGCTTTGACCAACAAACATTCATTGCTATTAAAAAAATGGTTCTGTTAACAAGTCTATAAATTAACTGTTCTAGTTTCCTTTCCATTGCTGTGACAAGACATTCTGACCAGTACCAACTTGGGGAGGAAGGGGTTTATTTGGCTTACATCTCCCAGGTCACAGTTCATCAGGGAGTCCAAGGTAGGAACTCAGGGCAGGAACCTGGAGGCAGGAGCTGAAGCATGGGCCATGGAGGAATGCTACTTACTGGCTTGCTCCCCTGGTCCATGCTCAGCTTGCTTTCTTATAGAATACAGATCGACCTACCCAGGGGTGGTACGACTCACAGTGAGCTGGGCCCTCCCAATCACTTCACAGTCAAGAAAATATCCCACAGACATGGCCACAGGCCAGTCCAATGGAAGTAATTCCCCAGTTGAGGCTCCCTTTACCCAGGTGTGTCAAGTTGACAACTAATGCTTTCCAGCACACTAACTGTCTTCATGAGATGTAAAGATGTTATGAGTACCAGCCATACTGAGTCTGAAAAACAGGCAGGAAGCGAATGAGAGATTTATTTACCTGTGACATGGTCTCACGCAGCCCAAACTAGCCTTGAACTTGTGATGTAGTTGAGGATAACCTTGGATTACTGATTTTTCTTCCTTCACCTTCCAAGTGCTGAGATTAAAGGCATGCTCTATCACATTCAGTTTTTACAAATTTATTATTATTTTGTATGAGTATGTTGCCTGCATGTATATAAGTTCACCTGTGTCATGCAATGCCTGTGGAAGTCAGAAGAAGGTGTCGGATCTCCTGGAACTGGAGTCACAGATGGCCATCAGCCACCATGTGGACTCTGGGAATCGAACCCAGGTCCTCTACAAGAGCAGCCACTACTCTCAATCACTGAACCAACTCTCTAGCCCCCCACCCAGTTTATGTGGTGCTGATGGTCAAACCCAGGGCTTTGGGCATGCTAGGCTGAGCTACATCCTCCTTCCCAGTAGAAGACCAAGAGACTTAAACAGACAGGGTCGTGTCTGGCAAATTGGAAGTGGCAAGTGTAACAAGAGGGCCAAGGATGTGTGGAAAGTAGTGATTCTAACAGGGTGTGGAATCTGAACACACCAAGTATGGAATGAGGGTCAATGAGATGTGCTAGGTCAAGAGATGGGGCCACATGTAGAGAGTGTGATGGTCATTGGAGCTGAGGCTGTAGGGAAAACAGCTGTACAGACTGGAGGGGAGGATCAGGAAGGGTGATGTGGGATCAGAGACTTAGGCTGTTCTACTAATGTGCATGATGACAAGACTGGTGGTTAGTGAATGGTAAGGTTAAAGGAAGGAGGTCTTGAACATGGAGAGGTGAGGTTGTTGGATTGACCATATAGATGAATATGCTAATTACCCCAAATGAGGGAAGGCTGGTGCTTGAGAAGTCTGCAAACTGGACAGATCCACAAAACAGCACAGTCAACATTTATATGCTCACTAGCGACATTAGGAATAGAATAGTTTTTTATTTGCTACAGATTTCCCTTGAAGAATGAATAAACAAATCCACAGATACAACCAATGGCCCACTGTGCCACACTTTGCTCTCTGTGACTTCAGATTCTGAAATTTGTGTGCATCATGTATTCATATCGTGTACCACAGGATGTTAGAAAGATAAATTTTATCCAAAAATCAAGATAAAATAGAAAACATATTTCAAATGAATTTCAACATGACTTAATAACAAAGTTGTTAAGTACTGGTTACACAGTTGGTAAGATACCTTTACTATTCAAATATGAACAGATTTTGGGTGTCATTTTATGCAATCTAACTTAAAAGTGAATCATCCGCCCATTTCATCTTGGGGTTACACAACAGGTCTCCTAATGATAGGAAAGTCCTTTAGCTAAAGCTGTGTAATTTGTGAACTCACAAGACACCTGAGTTTCATAAGAAACTGAGCCAATAACGTCATAGCACTCTGCCTGAGCACAGACTTACAGCATCTCATTGTGTTTCCTGTCATCTGTGGGAAGTCCTCAAGGTCAAACTCCTGTGCAGCATTTGGAAACCAAGTAGTGCGTGATAGTAGTAGTAGGTTTTTTTTTTTTTTTTTTTTTTTTTTTTTTTTTTTAGACAGGGTCTTCCTGTAGCCACAGCTGGCCTGGAACTCACTATGTAGACCAGGCTAGACTTGATCTCACAGAGATTCTCCTGCCTTGGCTGGGATTAAGGGCGTGTACCACCTTCCCCAGCCTGGCATGATAGTTGGTTTTAATGGCAACGCAGTAAAGAAGAATCACCTGGGTAGGGAGCCTCAGATGAGGAATTTTCCTGATTCCCTTAATATGGGAAGACCCACCCCAAATGTGGGTGGCACTTCCGGTAGCAGCCCAGATCCACAGGGCGTCAGAGGGAGGAGTCGCCTTGTGCTTGTTTGGTTTTCCCTCTTTCTTCCATGTTGTTTTGCCCCGTTGCTGTGATGATTCCTTTGCTGACATTCCTCTGATCCATCCATCCATCTTGCCTGTGATGAGCCAGTGTTTCTAGGCTTCTGTCACTGACCAGCGGCTCTTCAGGAACCTCTGGGTTTTGGGTGCCAGACTGGGATTGCTGAGGCACCCAGTGAACCTCAAGAACTGAACAGCTACCAGGGTCTCAGCCGTTCAAGGTGCAGTTCAGCTGTTCTTATTTCGAAGTAAGCTGACTAATAAATCACTTATGTATAATGTATATGAGTAATACCTGTTCATTCTGTCAGTTCTGGTCCTCTAGAGAACCTTGATGAGTGCTTATAGGATACAGAATCAGTGGAATGCGGGACTGGGGAGTGTTGGTCTGGACCCAAAGGACCCGAGTTTTGGGCATTGGATTATGTTTGGGCATTGAATCTTGTTATAAGAGCCATCAGGTGGGGATGGTAAAGGAGAAATGGCAGGGTGTGTGTATGGTGGATGGTATGAATAACATGATATTTCATACATGATATACTTGTGTGGAAATATCATTATGAGACCCATTACTATGCCCAATGAATACAGGGAAATCAGAAAAGAAGAACCATCAATATATTTGGTTGGGAAAATTTAAAACAGAAAGACACTGTTTTCATAGCTATTTTTTCTGCTTCTCTCAATAGTCACAGACTACTTGTTACCCTGTTCCCTCTCCAAGGGTAACTTAAAAAATTATTTTATTTATTATTTTTATCTTATGTGTATGCATGTATTGCCTACATGTAGGTAAGTGCACCTGTGTTGTGCAATGCCTGCAGAGGACAGAAGAGGCTGTCGGATCCCCTGGAACTGGAGTTACAGATAGTTGTTAGCTGCCATGTAGATGCTGGGATTTGAACCCAGGTCTTCTGCAAGAACAGTCAGTGTTCTTAACCACTGAGCCATCTCTCCAGCCTCCAAGGGTAACTCTTAATGCTTGCTGTGCTGTCCACAGAGTTGGTAGACTCTCACAGTGGTCTCTTTGTACTTAAGTTCTGAACTCTGTACTGACACTGCTTTTTACTAATATCATTAACATAAATACAGATAATTGGTTGTTTTAAATCCACTTCTCATGAAGACTGACTGTTTAGAATGAGAAGTCATAGTCAGAACAACTGGTGTAAAATCCTGAGACTTTCGTGATCTGCAAACACGTAATCAATTTGTAAACTATTATTAAATGGTTTCTGGTGTATATTTTACTTTGAAATCAAAACTGAGATTGCAATGTTAAATTGAGACTGACTCCAAATATTTCTAGAGCTTAAGATCTGGGTACGAACTTTCTAAATACCTGTTTTCAAGGGCAAAGACTTTGGTTGTCATTACTAGAACCCAAGGCCAAGTTGCCACTGTGCCAGGGACAAAGGTCTCCAGAAGGCTTTTCATAAGCCCTCTGGGCTGTTCATATTGCAGGCAGAGAGGTCATCTTCAAGGTAGTGTATTCTAAAAGACTTGATGACCTAATGAGAGCCAGGGACCCACTCACTCAGAACCAACCTATTTACCTTCAGCAATGACCAATCACAGAACAGAATATGATCACCATGGGAACAGAGGCCAAGAGAAAAATATGGAATTATAGTTTTAAT